AGTGACATTGACTACATATCCATCAGCATCAGATGAATCAAGTGTAGTCCAACTGACAGTGATAGTGGTAGCTGTCTTGCTGACCACAGTAAAAGAAGAAGGAGCATTTGCTGGTACTAACATAAAAAAATTTAATAATAATAATAATTGGTAACACTAAGTTTTAGAGTTTATAAGCATTACCTGTTACAGTTAAACTACATGTTCTAGTTCTTTGATCAGTAACTTGTACTACACACTGATACATTTGATCTCCAGTGGTTGATTGACTGATTGATTCACTACTGACATTCCTTCCATTCCATGTGATAGTAATGGTATATCTTACTGTGTTTTCAACAACACCACTTAAATCAGTACCAGGACAAGGATTATTATTATTATTATTATTGTCATCACAATTAGTATAACTAGCCAGTGCAGCACTATTAATTCTCATGCTAATATCATAGCGATTGAATCCAATTTTAATACAATTGAGTTTGTATTTCTGAGGATATACTGTCATATCAGAAGGAAGATCAGCAACAGTAAATGATTCTATCTGTGCAAAGTCTACAAATGAAAAATATTACATCAGTAAGTGATTATAGTCTCCTCTTACTGAATATATTAGCAAAGATGATGCTAGTGTTAGGATCTGAACAATCAGTGGGTAGACAACACTTGTACCAGCCATCACCATCAGATGACTGGAGATGGTTTGGTATTTGAACACTGAGATTAGCTCCTGAGGACCCAGGGGTACATTGAACATTTTGCTTGTTACCAGGACAAGGAACTTCTCCATCAGGTCCAATCCATTGTCCATCATCAAGATTAGCACCAGGTAATCCACACTCTAATGGCTTACCTCTGATGGTGTTATCCGAAAAAAATGATCCATTGGGATAACAGTTTCCATGATTATACCTCAGGTAGATACTTATGATAACCTATACAGTTGTTATTACACACATCCAGTGTCTTACCTGAAGAAGGTGGACAGTCACTAATAACTTCACAGACACTCAACAAGAATACAGCACTCACAAAAACTAGTCCTGACACTGTCATTTTGTCTACAACTGATAAATGTAAACGTTTTTCTGTCTACTAAAACAAAAAAAATAGCAATATCATGGGTAGCCCATTAACAAAGTAAATATTACATAAGAAAAATAAATATATAATAAGTGTGTTATAAAAACAAGACATGGTTACACAATAGGAATGTAAATTAAACACTCTATGTGACAAACAGGTAGGATATAATGACGATGGCTACAGCTAATTGGCAAGTGAAGACAATTAAGCATAATGCCAGTATATCTCACAATCTCCACTTTAACATCATGCATGGTTCTATTTATTTTACTATTTTACTAATAAAGCACATTAATTTGGTTGAGTGCAATGCTATTATGATAACTCAAAGATACAATATAACTCATGGGTAAAAACTCCTCAGGGCTCAATCAGTGCAACCAAATAAAGCAAAATGCTATGGAATAAAATCAAAAAGATAAAGTCAATTGTGAAAGCCATGATGCATGTAAGTAATGGCTTAATTCATTAGTATAGTAATACTGCTATTGTTGGCAAGACGTGTGTACTTCAGAAATTGCTAATACT